GTCTGAGTTCAGTACATTATTTCAATTAATTTTTCAGTCCAGTTAGTTCAGTTTGTCCATATCAGTTCAACTCAGTTTTCTTGTCAGTCAAGTTAGACCCCGAGATTATTCCGGTTAAATATTTAAGATCGAGTCGAGCATCTTAACAGCTATTTTCAGTCAGTCTGAGCATAGTACTTAGTATTTGTTTATTTATATATATATATTTACAGATTGATCAGCAGCAGCACTTACACTATCAGATTAACAGTTCAGGTGGGGACTCAGACTGGGTATTACATTGATTATAATTACTCTACCATGTTTGAGGTATGTATATGGTTATCCACTTTGGGTGGAGGCGCAGTAGCCTTAATTGACCATCCCGAGTTCTGGTGGAGGCGCAGTAGCCTTAATTGCCCATCGGAGTGTGCACATGGTTACGGACATAGTGTCCGAGATATTCAATTCAGTTACCGACCTAGCGTCGGGAGAGTACAGTTTACTTATATATACCTGCTGTCATGATATTGATATTATCATTAATGTTTACTTCAGTATGAGTTTCTGCAGAGCACAGTGGCTTTAGTGATCACGATCCCACTATATTATCTTTTTCAGGTGACAGGGTCGGTCCGGAAGAGTGAGCAAAGCAAGAGGTCGTTGGTCCAGTACATATGCTTTTGAAAACTTATCACATGTATATATTATTTTGCCACGATTTTACTTCCGCTGACGTTTTCAGAATTTCAAAACACGCATGTTAGTTTTCAGTTTTTGATCCAACCTTTCTGGTCGGATTTATACAGTATTACATGCCAGTTTGATAAAAGATAATCCGTTTTTCTAAATAGTTTTAAATTAGTCAAGTTAACAGAATTTTAGAAAGGAAATGTTTTCTGTAGCATTCCGAGTCACGATTTCGCAAACTAATAAGTATTTTAACAAAAAAATTTGCGAAAATTTAACTCTGATTTTAATAAGCTAGCGGGGTGTTACAAATGGTATCAGAGCACGTTTTTTTGTATCTGATTACATTATTAAATTCAAGAAATTTTCAGAAAAACCAACCATGCTACGCTCACGCCTCGCTGACTACCAGGTAAGTGCTGAGTTACAGTTTATATATATCTAAACGAATGCTTAAGTCTATGCTCAGTAAAGGGTAGCAGATATTTAACCCTAGAAATCAGTAAAATGCTCGAGTTAGTGATGCAGTACTTTCAGAACATAGTCGATTGTCCCAGTAATTTGATAATTCGACTCTAGTTTTCTTGGGTTAATTTTAGCAACTCATCAAGAGATTTGTGCGCATTCATAATCAGTTAAAGTATTTTATCATGTTATAATTTTGCATCTGATTATATTGATCTTTTCAATACTCAGATGCCACCTTGTAGAGAACCAGATCATCAGGAGCTCCCTCAGGCCACAGTAATCGCACATTTCCGCGACCACCATCCAGAAAAGTTTTCCAGCCAAGGAGATCCTCGTATAGTGGACGAATGGGTTCAGGGCCTTGAAATGATTTTCGAGGTCATGGACTGTCCTAATCGTTATCGCGTGTTATGCGCACAAATCCAGCTGACCGGTGATGCCCGAATCTGGTGGAATGCCTATTGGAGTATGCGTCCCGGCGAAAAAGAAGGTTGTACGTGGGACCAATTCAAGGAGTTGATCCGCGGAA